AGATGGAAAACATGCATCTTACCTGAGGATTCTCACTGTTCTATTTGGCCTCTCATAAGGAAAACTAAGAACTCAATCACTAAGGAGTCAGGGTCTGAAAGATGAAAATCCGAGCAGTGTCCACAAAAAAAAAAAAAAAAAAAAAAAAAAAAAAAAAAAAAAACCCTACCAGACCAGTTACCTCTTGATTGGAAGATCTAAATCTTACATGTGGTTGCAAAAGTGACATCTATACTGAAAGAGTTTGTTCATGGTCACGTTGGGAAATAAATGTAATTACAGACCTCCCTCCCCCACTTCTGAGGCCAAGGTAACATTTTATGAGCCCTTTCTACCTGCAGCATCACTGGTCATATTCTTCCTAAGCACAAGAGTTCAAGCATGGTAGTACCATAGCACAGAGGCAATTCACTACATTTAATCTATTCCATTCGCCATGGGCTATTAGCTGGATGTACAAAAGACTAATAGATTGCATTTATTATATACATTTAGGGCTCTCATGACAATTAAACACTTCCTTAAACACATACACACAGATCCATACCATGGCATCCAGAGTTTCTTAAGCCTCAATGTATATCAAATATTCTACTGGAAATTAACTCACCGAACACAGAGCAAATGCGCAATGCTAAGTGACTACCCAGTTAGCTCCACCCTCTGGATTTATATCAACTCTTCTAAGCAACACCTGCAGAGTTGGTTGCCTCTGCTTCAGTGGTCTCAAGAGCTTTCTGTGGCACTAAACAAGAAATTTGCTGGTATTAATGCAGGGCTGGTTTCAATACATGGAAGCTCTTTTCAGTCCTGAGTTTTCTGGAGTGAAAAAAAAAAAAATGAGTTCACAGAAACAGAAAGTCACTGACAAGTGTACACTGGCTGGTCAGTCAAGAGAAGAGAAGTTTATTGTTTTACTTCAGTGTATTTTAAAAATAGCATTTGACAAGAACCGGATAACACAAGCTTTTCAACTGAATGGCAATGAGAAATTAGGAATATACAAGACAACTTCATTTCAAAGGAAAATGGATCATGTTTATGTATGTACCACTACTGCCTCTAGTATTGGTCTTTGTAGTTCAGGTTCCTAACCAGTAAGTGCACAAATTCGTTGTTAATAATTAATTTAAATGTTTGTGTATTTTCATCTTTTTAAATGTTGTCAGTATTAGCTCAAATATATGCCCACAGGAAATTCAGGAATCTATTAACTCTTTCCTTTTTATCCTTTAGAGATTGCAAATCAGATTTCTCCAGCTTTTGTTTTAAAATACATAGAAAGTTTAATTTTCCATTTATCCAAGCACAATCTCTTTCCATCCATCCATCCATCCATCCATCCATCCATCCACCCATCCATCCATTTAATCATGCAACATCTACTAAGTGTTTGTTATCATTGTAACTTAAGAGCACATCAATAAATAAAGTCATTATCAAATTGTGGTCCAGACTTTATTGCTGCATTTCTCCACATTAACTTCTTTGATGATCACAACCTGTTTCTCATTCTACCATCCAAATCACGTGGTTTAGAGATGGGCCTTAGTGTCCAAATGGCCAGGTACTAATCTGACTTTAAGGACCTACCTGCTTTAATAATCCACTCTCAGGGAGACAGAATGGTTAAGTACTAAAAAGACAAGGATCTGGGGTAAGAGTCCCCAGGGCTCTGTCACTGGATTCATTGTTCCTTTATGACCAAGCTACTTAACAGCTCTGCATCCCCATCTCTCAAAATGACCATAACACTACCTACCTCACAAGGGTGCTGTGAGGCTTACCATGAAAGCATGAGGGAATGGTATGTAGAATCAGGGGCCTATTACAAAGGTGCTACAGGATTTAGAGTTGGTTGGATAAAGTTATGGAGTATGAACCCCTCTCCCCCTGGGAGTCCCAGGTCTGCTAGGTTATATCTACTCCCTTTACAACTAGAATCTAACATGGCATTGACCATCAATTGGCTTGGTTTATCTTAGTATGATCTCTACAAGATTTATCACAAACTCCACTCTGAGAGATGCTGGCTTGGGAAAATTATTAAATTAATTTTAGCAAAGGATAATAAAATGATTCACTTCCAGGTGCTGGGGATTGGGAAAAGTTGTTTATTTCAATATGATACAAGAGTTTGAATGGATATCTTCAAGGGGATGCATTTTATTGGAGAAATTTATTGCTTAGGGCTTTCTGTTGTTTTCAGCCTGACTCCCCAGCTTTTTGTACCATTGTTCTAACATACATCCCCTTTTCCTTTTCATTGGAAAGGGAAACTATAATTCTCCTTGGTTCATGATGATTCTTTTAATGAAGTCTGTTTTGCTCAAAGGACAAATTCTTTTCAACAACTATTGTAATTATTTTCTTAGAGGGCCGTTTTTGATTGCCATATTGTTTAGCTAAGCCCTATTGTCCTGGTGTCCTTCATAACTGTCAGTTGCTTTAAAATACAGGGGTGGGAGGGGGGAGCTGATAAGCACATTGTTGAAATTGATTTGTATGTTTGAATTGTCTTATCAGAATACAAGGTTATGAATTTCATCTGTTGAGACACAGAAATAAAATAATTTCCTAAAAAAATGTACTTGGTTTTTGAATGTTCTAAAAAGGCATTTATTCTAAATCTTTTTAATGTTTCATTAATAGTATTGCATCATTAATCATATTATAATGAAGTTTAGCCTTCTCCTATATTCATTGGCATTGCTCAGTTCTTTTTTATATATACTTGGGAAAGAATAAAATAAAATTGTTCAAGATTTAGAATTGAAAGAAATCAAGAAGAGCCATTCTCAAGGATCTGCAATTCAAGGATGACTATGGAATTATCTAAGATAAACAGGTATGAAGAAAATCCTTCCAAGCTATATGGAAACAGGACCTCCCACTCCCCACCGCCACCCCAGTGGAAAATGTTACTCCAAGTGATGGAAAATGACCAGGAGATACTTTTTTTTTTTTTTTTAATCAGTCAGGAAACTTTTAAAAGTGAGATGAAAGTACCAGCTTGATTAAAAAAAAAAAAAAATCTGTGGGCCAAGATTCTGCCATAATAATTTAAAGTTACTTCTGGGGCGCCTGGGTGGCGCAGTCGGTTAAGCGTCCGACTTCAGCCAGGTCACGATCTCGCGGTCTGTGAGTTCGAGCCCCAAGTCAGGCTCTGGGCTGATGGCTCAGAGCCTGGAGCCGGTTTCCGATTCTATGTCTCCCTCTCTCTCTGCCCCTCCCCCGTTCATGCTCTGTCTCTGTCCCAAAAATAAATAAAAACGTTGAAAAAAAAATAAAAAAAAAATAAAGTTACTTTAGTCACCCACTCACCCTCCACTGCAAAAAAACCACATTGGTATCTGCACTTGGGCTGCCATCACAAAATACCAGAGACTGGGTTGTTTAAACAACAGAAACTTATTTCTCACAGTTCTGGAAGCTGGAAATTCCAAGATCAAGGAGTCGGCAGGCTCAGGGTCTGGTGAGAGCTCTTTCATTGGGTTGCTGACGGCTACTTTCTCTCTGCCCTCATGTAACCTGCCTTTCCTTGGTGCATGCACATGGGACATGAGAGAGATCTCGTTCTCTCCCACTTTTCATAAAGCCCACCAACCCTATCAGATTAGGACCCCACCCTTCTTATGACCTCATTTAACTTTAATTTCCTCCTAGAAGTCCTGTCTCCAAATACAAACACACTGGAAGGGTTAGGGCTTTACATATGAATTTGGGAGGGGGAAGGAGGAACACAATTCAGACCATAGCCATTGGTTCATGAACATTAATCAAAGTGCTACATCACCCTTATTGATCATGAGCATGAGAGATGGTGTACAATGTTAGGAAGGCAAGTTAGGAACGTTGATATAAACAAAGGAAGGGCATTGAAAAAAGGTTTCAACAACTAGCAAAGATTCCTTTCCTTGTTTCACTTGTTGTACTACTTCTCAACAATTACATATGACTTTTTCATTCTACATCACCAAAGTTTTTAAATAGTTTCTGTGTCTCCCAATTTCTCATAACACCCGCAGAGCATTTCTCAGAAATATTCATCTCTTAAATTCCTTTCTTATTCAATACTGTGAGTTAACTTCTTTCTGGAATCCCCATCCCTTGTCTGATGCTCCTCTCAAACACTTCAAGTTCTATTTTGACTGTGACCCCCTCCCCATTCACCAAAAGAAATCCATTTCAAGGAAAAAGATATGACAATATTCTCATGATCCCAAATTTACTCACACTCTGGGTCGGCTATACTATTTTTAGGATGAGATTGGCTTACTCATGTGAGCCAACTGATGGGCTATTTACTTGTTATCCATAGTTATGTTAGTATGAAAAAGGTGCTCTGGTCTACGCAAGAACAACAGCATTTACCATGACCATTTGCTTGACCTAAAGAATTCTGGTGAATAAAATGTAGAAACCCAAACTGTGTGTTTGAAGCAGAGAAGTATCTAAATTGAATGCTGATCAGATGCCCACAAGTTCCCCTGTGGATATTCCTACTGGTTTTGTGGATAATACAGAACCAGGGTGCCAGGCCCAGGTGATAAGCCAACACTTTCTGAGAAAATCCTCTGTAGTGATCATGATGAGAAATGGATCTTTAAAAGTTCATTTTCTTCAAGAAAGTCACTCCCAGGCCAGTCGATATGGTCTTCTGAGAAATCTACAGAGTCCAAAACTAGAGGTTAATGAAGGCTACCAATGGATACCAATAGATACCAACAGCATCTACCATGTACCTGGGACTTTTAATAAGCACATTAATCTTCTCCGAAGCCCCAGAAGTGGGCACTATCTTTTTCATTTTATAGGATTTTCACCTGATACCAATTCCAAAATCCATCTTCTTTCCACTCTGCCATGCTGCCCCCAACTTTGCAAGTCCCCTAAGTAGAACAGTACTTTAGTCATTTCAAAAAGAGGCCTCTATCATTGCCATACACATGACATTCAGCTTCTCAAGCTCCCTTTGCTTTTAGTTGAGACTCGGGGTGGGGGGGGGTTGTTTGTTTGTTGTTTTTGTTTTGTGTTTGTGCTGCCCCTGCCTTACCTCCCAGCAGCCCTGGATCCCTTATTCATTCTCCTGATGTTCTTTGCAGTAACATCCAGCCGGGTGAACTCTCTTACAGCTAATGTGGATCTGACAGGAGATGCTGTAAAAATACAATTGTAATTTGGTATCAATTAAAATGATAGCACAGTGTACTCTTTCTGCCTGCTCGTAATAGCATGAGCGTCTTAATGGGCAAAGAAGCATTTTTGTTCCTCTGAAATTACCATCCCATGTATGCGATTACAGCCACCTCAGGGGCAAATGTTGTTGCGCTTCATCACCTTGACACGTCTTCTGCCCTCATGTTAATACAGACTCTTTTTATTAGCTAGTTTGGAAATTTGCTTATGTAACCCAAATACAACATAGTTGTCTAGATTTTTTTTCTGACACATTTTTCTTGATGAGAATGACATTTTCCTGGAACCAAGGTAAAACCAAAAATAAAAGGAGGCTGCGCCACCCACAGGTAGAGGAAACCCCATCTTCTTTTTATAAGAAACCATTTCTGTCTGTTCTACAGAACTTTTATGGAAGGAAGATAAATCTTGGGATAAATGAAACCCAGAAGCATGCTTGCCTCCTTTGGGAAACCTGGATATGGTGTAAGGCTGGAAACTTCGGCTAATTGGGGAAGGAGAGAGGTTAATGGGACAGATGGACACTTTGTGGCAACTCTGACCCAAATATCACAACCAACTCTCCCTGGAGGATGAAACCAATCTTCCACCTACCAGGAAGGATCATTTTTTTTAATGTTTATTTATTTTTGACAGAGAGAGAGAGAGAGACAGAGCATGAGCGGGGGGTCAGAGAGAAAGGGAGACACAGAACCCGAAGCAGGCTCTAGGCTCTAAGATGTCAGCACAGAGCCCGACGCGGGGCTTGAAGACCCGAGATCTGTGAAGACCACGAGATCATGACCTGAGCCGAAGTTGTATGCTCAACCAACTGAGCCACCCAGGAGCCCCTACCAGGAAGGATCATTAACAGGGGTTCCTGGCTACTGTTGAATAAAGCTTTCTAAGCATGCCACTGGAAATTCATCTCATTCAGAGACAGATAAGCAGAATGACACAGAGTGATTCCAACAAAGAAACCTTAATATATTATTTAGGTTTCCAATTAAACACCTACGTGTTAACAGAAACAAGGCCAATTGTCCATATGTGCTCCTGCAATCTTTACAATGCAGCATGGATTATTTATGAGTCTTCTCATCTCTGTCACTTTCCCATAACATACTTTCATTTGTCAGAGTCATAACATGCATAGTATACGCTTGCAAATTCCTTACATTTTTACATGTTCACAGAAAAGACTCTATAGTCTTGGATGCGTTCAGTGAGATTAGAAACAGTTGAGCTGATATATCTGGTCTGTAAATCATTCACTCAAGCATTTATCGAGTCCCTACTCTGGGCCAGTTAGTATGGTAGGCTCTGGGAATCCTGCATTAAACCAGACACCTGGAAAAGGAGATACCCAGGCAGTGCCTGTTCTGTAGCTACCATTCTGTCTGGAAGTTTCTCAGCAAGCTTTTATTCCTGCCTTTATCCACCTTGTAAGGTGGGAAACAATGTGTATCAGCCCTGTCATGGGGAGCTGGGCTTAGCATTTACTCCAGTGATACAATGAGAAGTTTTTGGACAGAACTGTTGCAGGCCAAAGGTTCAAGTTTACTTTCAAGGAGCTACTCTCCTGGGCAAAAAACCTCCTTAGAGTGGATTATCCAAAATGAAAAGCCTTGAGATGGAGCTAATATGGACACTTCCCATTTTAGAACTATCTTCAAGGAAAAAAAGAAGGTGATATGTGCAAATCTATCCTCTTTCCCAGGGAAATTCTTACAAAGGTGGTGAAGGACTATGAGAAGTCAACACCCCCAGGGTAAAGGGATAGCCTGATACCAAGTTGGGCATACAGTAGATGCTTAGTAAATGAATGTCACATAAATGGATACATAGCCTAAAAGGACACATCATGGGGAAGCATATTCATAGACCAGGAGTAGGAGCTCACCTGCCTGAAGCTCTTTAACAAATCATTCACTTTCTGTGGGGGTTATTGGTGTGTATTTTTAATTAGACAGTAAATGTCCACTATAGAATGTCCATTAAAAAAACAATAGAAAATAGATAACTTAAAATTTCCAGTAAGCCAGAGATAACACACTGTTATCATTTAGGTGGTTAAGCCAACTTAAGCATAAAACAATTTTTCTATATAGTACATATGGATTTTTAATGGATATCTATTATTTCAAAAAAATTTTCACTTAGCATTTTTTCTTTTTCTTTTTCTTTTCTTTCACTTAACATTTTATTGTGAATCTCTTTCCATCATAAATGGCTGCACAGAATTTCCTTGTCTAATTGTACTATAATTCACCTTACCAATGCCCTGTTGTAGGGTAGTCAGGTTGCTTCCAATTAAAAAAAATTTTTTTAATTAATTAATTTTTAGAGAGAGATTGAGTGCATGTGTGATGGGGGGAGAGGGGCAGAGACAGGGAGAGAAAATCCCAAGCAGTCTCTACACTGTCAGCACAGAGCTCAATGTGAGGCTCAGTCTCACAAACTGAGAGATCATGACCTGAGCAGAAACCAACAGTTGGACGCTTAACTGACTGAACCACCCAGGCGCCCCTGGGTTGCTTCCAACTTTTTTTTCCCATATTTTAAACGACTATGTATTAAGGGTCTTTGGAGCTAAATCTATACCAATGTTCATAGTCATTTCTTTATGCTAAATTATCTGGAGTAGAATTGCTACTCAAAAATTAATATAATTTTTGAAGCTTTTGATAGGTAGTGATACCAGAGAGGTGCTGGTTTACAGTTTGAATAATAAGGAAAAAGGGGACTCTTTTCCCTGAACCCTCATGAAATACTGTAGGTTTTGCTGAAAGCATCTATAATAAAGATTGTCACCGTGTCCTTTTCTATGAAATACATTTAGATTCCACCTGACCCTACATCATTGTCCTACAACACTACTAGAATCTTTGTTTACAATATTTTTCATTGTCCTGTGTAATTTCCTCTCAAGTTCTTGCATTAGGAGGCATGTGCCTAATGGGTTCTTTTGAGTTCAGTAACTGGTTAAATCCAAATAGCAGTATTCATTTGACTTCAGGAAGGAAGATTCACTCATTCATTCATTCAATCAACACACAGTGAATACTTTCAATGTACCAGGCACTCTTGCAGACCAGGGCTATAAAATTCCTGAACCAGACAGAAAAAACCTGTAACCACAAGGAACTCAAATTTTGACAGAGAAGAGAGAAAACACTCAAATAAATATACAGTGTAATAATAGGTAGCTATAAACACTACCCAGTGTTCTAAATAAGGTAGTCAGAGAAGTCCCTTCTGAAGGGACACCTGGATGAACTTACTGGTCAAACCATGCTTACATCTGAGGTAAGAGACTGTCGGAGAAAAGGAACAGAATGTACAAAGGTCCTGAGCAGGAAGTGAGTTGAACATGCTCAGAGAACAAAGAAATTCCAGTACGACTAGAGCAAAGTAGAAAAGACAGTAAGAAATGAGATTCAAGAAGACACGAAATCAAGTAGGGCTTGGCAGACCATTTAGAGGACTTCGAATTTTCTTCTAAATGATGGGAAGCATTTGAAGGTTTTACAAAAGGGTGCAATGTGATCCAATTTGTATTTTACAAATCTCATTTGAACAACTGAGTGGAGAATAAATTATAGGCCAACAGAAGAGTTGAACAGCTCTTGTGATAGTGTTAGGCAGCTGGGTATTTCAAGCTCCTGAATCCTGTTTTGGAAAGAAGCAAGAAACTAACAAGTGATATGAATATTCGTGGTTAAAAGTAGTATCCAATCACCTGGCTCAACAGCTACATGAAAAGCCTTAGGCTGCCTGGTCATCTCTGTGTCACCACTTCTACCTCTCTCAGATTGGCTTCCAGGCGAAGATGTTCACAGGGCAACTTATGAGAATTGCTAACATACAAGAACACTCTGTCAGCACAGATAACATGCGGTCCAGTAGTGGGAAGCCCAGACTGTCACACCAAAGGCCTAAATCAATGTAGTCTCCTAAAGAAGAAGTCAAATAACCAAGGGGGACTATAGGGAAATTCTGAGCTGCCCTTTCCCTATGACCCCTGGCTTGCCTCCCTACTGATCAAGCTGGGCTCTGGAACAAAAACTGAATTAAAAGCAATAGTATTGCAAATCTAAGAGTCTAGTTATTAAGCTATTTATAATTAAATATCTGTTAGGAAATATGGTAGAGATAAATTAAAAGCTTCTTTCTATTTCTAGAAAACTGTTCACTGAATACTATTTAAGCTTTTGATGCAGGAAAGAGGGGGATTAACTTTATCATCTTAAGGATCATTGGGTTTTTGAAGTACGTTAAAAACAGGACATAGTGTTTTTCTTTTAAAATCACACACAAAATAAGAAAGACTTCTAAATCCACAAGGACATACACTCAGCAAAAAATCTTGGGAAAACCAAAGCGTCTTGTTCTGTCTATGTACGTTCTTTATTTTTAAGTTTCTCCTCTTAATTCCCTCTGACATGAATGTGTAATGCTGAGAATCTATGCTAATGAAGAATGTGTCCACAAGATGTATAATGCATGCCTTTTAATTAGTTCTGCTGCTATAATTGATTAACATTTTGCCTGTGCAGTACTATTACAAAGAGTGAGCAGTCAAACACTGTATGCATCTAGTCCCAGTAGAAAAAAAAAAAAAAAAAAAGCACCAAACGCTGCCATTGTAGAACATCTGCACTGCCAAAGCGATCCTCCGTATTCCTATTGAGAGTCTGCTGGGAGGTGCTTTAAGCAGCTTGGAAAGAAGCAGCAGAAATAAAAGACAAAATTAAAGGGCACAAGGCCCAGAGGAATGAATACGGGAAATGTTATAAGGGGAGGGAAAGAGATCAAGATGAATATGAAGAGTATGAAAACAACCATAACTCCATAAGGAATCTGGGGCAGATGGAGGAGATAGAAGTAAAAGCTGAGAAAAGAGAGAATGCAAATTGTATGCCCATCTGGGTGTATAGACATCTGCATGCATTTGGGGACGCACGTGTGGGTACAGCATACATGTAACTGTATGTAGGCTAACAGGGGCAGAAACAAATTATATGAATGTAAGGCTCCAGCACCAGCATGGAGCCTGCTGATTCAATGACTTCACCCCGGGCCAGATGCCCCTGCTGTAGCACCCCTAGGAATCATGCACTTTCCCCCTGTCCTGCTCAAAGTGAGCGGAAGGACCATGTATCATTGGCTCCCTAGCCATTTGCAGAGTGTGTCCTATGAATGAACCCTGTGTTGGTGCCCGGGGGACATGCTAAAGAAGGCAAATTTCCTTGCTTTGAATTGTTTACAGCCCAGTGGGGGAGACTACAAGCACACAGGAGTCTGGATGTATGACTTGAGGACAGGCACGCAGATTAAATAGAGACAGTGGACACAAGGCTTGGACCATTCTAGGAAGGATTTCTGGCCTCAGTCATTTCTATATCAAGACAGTCATGTGAAAAATAGTTGAAGATGTTCTAGGCTAAAGGAACATTATGAGCAAAGAACTTGAGAAAAGATATGTTGGGATTTTAAAGAAATGTAAGTAGTCCAGGAGAATGGGAAGGGAGGCAGTGCGTTGGAAGATGGACAAGTCTGAGAATCACAAGACTAGATAAATACATTTGAACTTAGCTCTGGATCCTCCAAAATCTACCCCTCAGCCTACCTATTCAGATGCTATAAATTTATCATTGCCGACAGTGCCCAACAGTCCTGCTGTTTCCTTTTTTCCTTTCAGGATCATCTCACTCTTCCATCCTCCCTAACCGCAATTTCAAAACTCTGCTCAAATTTCCCATCTTCTCCCCATTTCCCTTCACTCTCAGCAGATAATCTTCACTTTAAGAAATTGGAAGCCATCACATGGGAACTCCTTGGGATTCTGCTAGCAAACTCCTAGTCCCACATCTAATGCACCTGTCTTGTCACAATAGAGGAGCTATCTGGCCCCTCCTTATTCAAATCCTATCCTTCTGCCATCTCAGTAAATTTACGTTACCAAATATTCTTTAAAAAAAAGTTCATTTATTTTGAGAGAGAGAGAGAGAGAGAGAGAGAGAGAGCACAAGCATGGGAGGAACAAGAATGAGCGAGAAGGAGAATCCCAAGCAGGCTCTGTGCTGTCAATGCAGAACCTGATGCAGGGCTCAATCCCAGGAACCATGAGACTGTGACTGGAGGCAAAAATCAAAAGTCGGATGTTTAACTAACTGAGCCACCCAGTTGACCCTCAAATACCATTTCTCCTAGAAGTCTCCCATTAAAATACCACCTCTATCCACTAACCCACATTCCTTCCCAGCAATCAATCTCTTTCTTCCTTTACCTCCTTCCAGAATTCTTCAAATACTTAGTTGCTATCCCTTTGTTTTTATTTCCTCAATTCTCACTCTTTCCTCCACCTACATTTATCTACCAAAACAACTTTTGCTGAGGATTACCAGTGCCCCTCTGAGGCTAAATCCAAGGGACATTTTTCAGTGTGCAAATCACCTGACTTCTCTCACTGACAATTCACACTGTTGACCACACCCATCACTTAAAACACTTCTGTCCCTTGGCTTCCATAAAAGAAGTCTCTCCTGGTTTCCTCCCTATGATCTCTTTATCAGCCTTCTTTACAGGTTTATCCTCCTCCCTTTCATTATCAAATCTTCAAGCCTCTCAGGTCCCAAATTTAGCCCTTTGGTATTCTCCCTCCTTGGAAAACTGTCTCTATTTACACGTAGTCAATTATATTCTGAAAATCTCATGAATTCCAGAGAATTCTTGAATTTCAGAGTATTCCAGAGAACATTCATTCCAGTCTTCATTGCCACCCATCTAACACCATTTTTTTCTCATACTATTGTTGTGCCCCCCCCCCCACCTAAACACACACAATTACTCTCCCTATATCCTTTTTGGCACCCTTACAATGTATTTCCCATGCCATAAGGACAATGAACATCTTATAGAGCAAATTTGATTATGTGAAACCTTTTCCCCTTCTCTGTACACATGCACACACACAGAGAACATTTTTTATAACTTCCCATCATGCTTAGGATAAATGCCAAAAATACTTAACACGATCTTTAAGGCTCTGTATGCTCTGGCCCCTGCATCTCCAACCTTCCTTTCATACTTCCCTCTTATTCAACCTCTGTGCTTCGCTCTACTGTTACCCACTTTTATGTTTCTCAAACACACTATCCTTTCTCCCCCCACAAGTTCTTTGCATGTTCTATTTCCTCTGCCTAAAACACTTTTGCCCCTTCCTCCCTTCATCTGGCAAATTTCTTCCCATGACTTACCTCTCAACTGAATTGTAAATTCTTTAGCGGAATATTTTGTGACAACCAGGCCCTCCATCCTAAATCCTCTTTAGATCCAGAGATCTTATTATATGCATCATCATCCAAAAGTAGCTGATACTGGAGGATATTAAAATAGATCACTGAAAATGGATGTAGTACCAGCTGGGAGCAAATATCTAGTAAAGGTGGAGGGAAGTCTTGCAACATATGTATATATACCTGAACTAAGGACAAGATATCATGTCTTTTACCCACAACCAAAATAACATATCTGGGAACCAAACGGTCAAAGTGCCAATGGTACCCCTTAATGATACATTTAATGGCCCACATTCAAAATGTTTGCAGCTTGATCCCATGCTTAGCACTCCACTTGTCCACAGATTTAACATCTATGGGGGGGGGGGGGGCACTTCTACTGGGGCACAGATAATACTGCCACAAAATGAAAGCTGAGTCTCAATATGGACATTTTGGAACTGTATATCTTATGCAACCATATATCTTATATCTTATCACATGGGGTCGCCTCACAATTATAGGAAATGTTGTTATAGCTACACAGTGGGGACCACAAGGATTTTGAACCCAGAGAATACCCTAAGCCACCTCCTATATCACTCTGCTGTTAAGGGCAGACCCTGTCAAACCACACATAAGTAGGACCAACACCAACTTTGTCTTTCAGAAATAATATTTAATTACCATACCAGGCAAGGAACCCTAACTATATTAAATTCTAGATAGAGAAACCCTTGAAGGGTTAATAATGGGAAGCAAAAATAGCAGACAGCAGTTGTGGCCTCATGACTCACCGTAGAAACATGGTGGTGCATCTACTTGAGTGTTCTTGCATCTTTCTCTTCCCTCTTCCTTTCCCTTATTAGTTACATTAGAAATGCTGGCAGTGGTTATCTTTCCCATTTAGTCCCTAAGTTGCAGAATATGAAGGTGGATTCCTAAAAGAACAAAATGGGAAGGAGACACTACCCAGAAATCCTGGATGTAAAGGACAGAGATACTCTATCACCGTATGAGTTTTGGAGATGGACACTTCTGGCTTTTATTCATTGATTCATTCATTGAACAACATACACCTAAAATAAATACAAATCTATTTGTGGCAGTTCACAAAGTGCTATGTCAGGAAAGGAGATCTTCAAACTTGATTCTTGATATCTCTTCAACAAGTTACAGCAATACTTTGTACTGCCTGGGGTATGGCAACTTTATATTTACTGTGCCCTTACATAAGCAAGGACAAGAACTTCAGCTGCACATAATTACATTTCCTGTCTCTTAAATCACAACCATCTTTATATGAGTGTCATACATTCTGTTTCAATCCTTACATGTTTTATAGTTTGTGATTATTTTTGTAAAGGAGGGGAGGCTGGTAAGCCCATGATAAATACAAAAAAAAAAAAAATCCTGCATTTTTTTAATGGACAGAAGAATCTGAACTGTAAACAAAGGCATGTGAGGGACCAATACATATTTCTCTGAAGACACTTCTATGTTCACCATGTGCCCTGAGACAACGACATTTGGGTTACAAGATTTTCTGTATGAAAGTTTCATTCTTGGGGTGCCTGGGTGGCTCAGTGAGTTAAGCATCCGACTTCGGCTCAGGTCATGATCTCACAGTTCATGGGTTCGAGCCCCGCATCAGGCTCTGTGCTGACAGCTCAGAGCCTGGAGCCTGTTTCAGATTCTGTGTCTCCCTCTCTCTCTGTCCATCCCCTGTTCACGCTCTGTCTCTGTCTCAAGAATAAATAAACATTAAAAAAAAATTTTTTTTAAAAAGAAAGTTTCATCCTTGCAAGCTAAATATGGGTGGTTTTATTGCTGTTACATCAGATGCTCTGAGGTTCCAAAGGGAAAAACATACAGCCTGGAAGACTGATTCCAGTGCTTCCGCATTTCCCAAAGAAGCTGGACAATGGAGCTTAGAAAAAAATGCCTTTGTAAATTTTTGGTAGGCCTGTTAACCAAAGATAAAATTAGTAACTTTTATACTGACTCAGCCCATAAAGTTACTCAAAAATGGGGACAAAATCAATGGCATTCATTTACTGAGTACCTATTATGAGTCAGACAACACCCTGGGAATTTATCTCCAAAATATAACGAAGCCAAAAGGGTACACATTTGAAAATGTTAATTGTACATTATGGCAAGAAACTAAAAATAATTTTTATGCTTAATAAGAAAATTGCACAGTGGCCAAGGACTATTAACAAACTACATTACAAATGATAATTTTGATTATATAGATATATGGGGTTATTCGTGATGATATGGGAAGGGGCAGGGAGTAGAATTCAGAACACTATATGCAGTGTACGTCTGCAAGGAGACTGCCAACCAAAGAAAGATAGGTAATACAGTTAAAGAAAATAAAAATAGTTTTTGGAGAGAGTTAGTGAAATTAAAATTGTCTTCTGACTTTTCAAAGTTTAATTAATATCAGATTTATAACTGGTCAAATATAAAATGATAAACTACCCAGTCATCATAAGGTACTTATAGATTGACAGAACACTCTGATTTGTTGGCAGAAGGAGAAGAGGGAAGAAGTACAAGTAAAATCCTGCCCCCACAGTGTTTAGGGTCTGTAATAAATCAAAGCAAACACATGAGAAACATTAGTGAATACAAGACTCTTTGTTATAAAGTTCCTTACTCATAGAAGAAAGATGTCAAGTGTTAGCAATCAAGAATGGTTTCAAGGAAGAGACATCACCTGGGCTTTGAAGACTATGGACAGGGTCATTCAGGCAGGGCAGTTACATACACAGAGCAAGGACACTGACACAAGAGTTATGGTAGTGTTGTCTTATCTCTATGTGCTCTGAGGAGCCATAGGCATAGATAACGGGGGGAAAAAAAGAGTGCCCTGATCAGAGGAGAAGATCCTCTGATAGAGATTAGACTTTATTTCTACTTCTACCTCAGACACATAAATAACTGAATGAACTAGGGTTTCTGGTGTGTGTTAATTTATTATCTGCTTAGCAACCAAGACCAAAGTATTCATACCCTACAGTTCCTTTAAGATCACTAATATCCAGATAGGCACTTAACTGATATGGCAGTAAGAGAGACAGGATTTATTGCAAAGATCATCCATCTTGTGCAAAACTAGCTGTCTGGGGGTACTGTGGGTATAGGGGTGTGTGTGTGCTTGTTGAGGCTGGCACATTTGCTGAGGCCCGTGTTTTCCTGTGCCCATGAGTGCTTATGGAAGTCTGGTGTAGCTCATATAAAAATAACCATTAGCTGGTGGACAAAGATGCCATAAGCTGGTTCATCTTGCTAAAGCCAAAAGGCCATGTGAAATAAGTCTTAAAACCTATGGATTCCACTTGCACCAATTAAAAACAGGGGCAGAAGTCTAGAAAAGTAGCCCATTACCCGATTTAAGTCCACATGAATCTGTCAAGGTAAAAACTTCCATGGTTCCTTTCATACCTGAATTTCCATTCTTTTTATATTTCTCAAGGCTTATCTTTTTTGTCTCATGCTAGTTCTCAACCAAATAAAAGATACAACAAATACTAAGGCATACAGAGGCCAAAATGCTACTTTCACCACTGTAAACCTGATACTGGAGAATGTGGCTGAAAATTGTCTGCAACATGGGGTGCCTGGGTGGCTCAGTCAGTTAAGTGTTTGACTTTTGATTTCAGTTCAGGTCATGAGCCCAGGGTCGTGGACTGAGCCCTGTGTCGTGTTCCATGCTGAGTGTGGAGCCTGCTTAGGATTCCCCCCTTCTCTCTCTCTCCCTCTGCCCCTCCCTCTCTTAGTTAATTAATTAATTAATGCCTGCAACAGCACTTTCTAATAATTTAACTCAGAATTAGAACATTTCAGTAAGTATTCTTCCCCTATACACATACATACCTTGAAACTACAACATGGAGGGGCACAGTGGAATGTGTGCTCCCTGCAGGCAGGCAGCTTCCAGAAGAAGGGAGAAAGGATGGGACAGAACTATCTATCGCTGTCTCTGCTTCCAAACTCACACACAAGATTAGGAGTGAATGAGGGAGCAAAATCAAGAGCCAGTCTGACACTGGTGTAAGTCCCTCCAACATAGGAAAAAGCATCAGGAGTATAAAGGAAAGGATTCCCCCTCTCTCCCAAAAGATTTAACTCTGCAATTTTTTTGCAAGCATACCCATAGAATTAATTCTGAACAAAGGGACTTCTAGGTCATCTTTAGCTTCATAGATACTGCTAAATTTCCCTCTCAAAAGCTTCCCCTTGCTGGGGAAGAGGGATGTTCCCCGTTAAACACTAATTTTTTTTTCCCCCATCTGATGGGAAGGAAGGGGAGTAGTATCTCGTTCCTTTGATTTGCATTTTCTTAATTAAGAATGAAGTTGAGCTTCATTTCATGGTTTTGTTTTGTTTTGTTTTACAATTTGCATTTATTTTTTCTATAAGCTCTCTTATGTGCTTTGCCTTATTTTTTTAAGGTTTCCCATCATTTAATTACTGATTTGTATGAACACTTAGTGAACTACAGGAGTTAATCATTTCTATGTTGAAAATCTGTTTCTTTGATTGCTATCCTCTTTGACTAATTTTTTTGCCATTACACAATTTTAAACTTTTATCAAGGTAAATTTATCAATGTTCTTTGTTAGGTTTGTAGGAATATAATGCTTGCTTTATAGTGGCTCATCCAGCTAAATGAACATAGCATAGTGTAGATATAACTAGATTTATTTCCCAGCCTTAACAATAAATAATCTTTGCTAACCTTTCAGGCTGCATCCAAGGCTTCCACAGAGGGTAAGGAGTAGATATCTCAGCCATTTACTTGCTTTTACAGAGCATATCAGATTTTATCTTTTAATAATGTTTTATATAAAATTTTCATTTGAAGATATACTTCTAAATTATGGAGAAAAAACCTGAAGCTCATTTCTCTGTTAAACTGCAATTTGGAAAACCAGACACTGACACACCTAATCCACACTATCGCCAAAGGAACTCATAAGAACTGTACACCAAAGGATGTTCTCCATTTACCTTTTCCTCATCTCACCACAGCCTCCCACTTCCAGATCTAGCTCATGTTCACTCCTTGAATGGAGAAGGGCACACTAATCCAAGCTTCTGCTTTACATATTCATATACATGCTATGTGTTACCATGTGTTTGATGAAATGGTAGAGGCTTTGGGAACAGGACTAGAATGAAGACAGAGAGTCAAATGATCGTCTTTTAGCATATGCCATTGCCAACCCTGCCCTGGCAGGCAAAAAAGGTTGCAGGCACTCATAGATGCCAGACACCTGGATTAGAAATCTCCCATAGCAGGAGTGTCCAGCTGCTGAGGGCACAACTCCTAACCTCATGGTGGCCACTGACTGAAGGTACCTCCTGAAATGGTTACATTCCAGGGATACCTGAAAACAACTACATTTTATATTCATTTGTGTGGTGCTTGATAGTGAACATAGCACTCACACACGCAGAATTTCACCATGGTATAGTGACAATATCACTGGACTTATAATGAGGAAATGTGGCTTCTGCTCGAATATCTGTGTGCCACGTGGAGATAGGCAAATGTTTCTTTAACAAGACATAAGGAACAATAAGCATAACAGAAAAAAATGATATAATTCATTACATTTAAAAACTTCCAATCAAGGGAAATTAACTTTTCCTTACTTTTCTTTAAATGCATATGACTGTTTAAAGTAAAAATTAGAGTGTCATGGGAGTAAAGTGGGTTTCCTAATATAGTTGGGTCTTTTTTTTAAGTTTTTACTTATTTTAAGAGAGTGAGAGAGAGGGAGGGTGAGGGTTAGCAAGAGAAAGAGAGAGAGAGACAATCTCCAGCATGCTCTGCATCATCAGTGTAGAACCTGATGCAGGGCTTGATCTCATGAACTGCAAGATCTCATGAACTGAGCCCAAATAAGGAGTCAGACATTCAACCA